AGCAGCAATTACTGCTGCCACTGCAGGGCTCCAGCAGCCATGGTTACTAGTGTTGTGGGCTATATCCAGCCCACAAGAAGTCCTGTGGACCAGATGACCCACCCATGCAGACTGGGTCAAGCCCATGAGCCATATGTTTGACAGCCCTGCCCTATACACTACAGCACTGCCTTTCATTTTGCTAGCAGCTAAATAGCAAGAGTCAAGCTCCTGGGTATTATCCAAAGTGCCTTAATCAAAAGAGGATAATAAGAGTTTGTGGGGCACGTCTAAGTCCTCAGCAGATACCTGAGCACATCCTAAATCCCCACTAAATTAGAGCACAATTGACAGAGGCCTTGGACTGAAAGAGAAGGAGGGTCACTGGCAAAGCTATAAGTGGCCTTACGACAGGGAGAGCAAGGGGTTGCCAGTCATGGCAGGTTGCACTGGCAGAACTGTGAGGATGCCCAGGATTGGAATAGGAGAAGAAGCTGCAGATGGGGAGTGAGGTGCATGAAGGGCTGCGGCCTGGCAGGGCAGGGCAGGAATGAGGCCACGTGCAGACACAAGAGCGAGGAACCCGGCACCTTACCACCCTGCTTCCCCCATTCAAAGGCAGAACAGGATAGTTTAACTCTCAGAGAAGAAAAATGGAAAACTGGCTTGGGAGATATCCAAACAGATATCTTTCGCTGAAAGGAGAACCCCTTTTACCAGAGCAGTGAAAGCCTCGATGGTGCAGTGGTTCCGGTGAGGGAAGGAAGTTGAAGAGGACACAGCAGGATGACATGGAACCTCTGGGAGGGGTGGTTTGCCCTGTGTGCAGTGGACAAGGAAAGGGCAAGTGCCTCAGAAGTCCCAGGAAGCAGCGAGAGTGAGAAATAGAGGCAGCAGCCTGATGGAGCAGAGGGCATTCAGTTAAGTGTTGCATGGGATTCACGCTCCCAGCAGTGTTTACATGGTGAAGATGCCCTATGGCACTGTGCAAGGTAGGGGTGGGAAAAATGCGGCCTGTGGGCCAGATGCGGCCCACCAGGTCATTCTATCCAGCCCGTGGGGCCCCTAAAAAATTGAGAAAATTTATATTTATCTGCCCCTGGCTGCCTGTCACATGGCCCTCGATGGCTTGCCAAAACTCAGTAAGTGGCCATCTGCCCGAAATAATTGCCCATCTCTGGTGTAAGGGCACAAAAGGAACCAGCCCTGGAGGCCTGGCTGTGAAGCCAGATGGTCAAAGTACTCTCTGCATATTATCAGGGAAAAGGAGGGGAGAGCCATTTCCACCACGGAGGGAGGAGGATGGGGGGAAGCAGAGCTCTGCCCAGCACCTTTACTCTCTGGCCCAGAGCACAGGAGATCTCCCTTTCCCGCTGGGGCGGTGCTTTCTCAATCCGGGCACTTTCCTGGAAAATGACCTGGAGTAGATTTCTAAGAAAACGCAAGAGCTTCTGGAGCAATGGTCCCGCCCCAGAGGCAGGATGCGAAATTCTGCTGTACGGAGAACTGCACAGGAAGGCAGAAAGCCACAGCACGGACTTGCCGAGTCACCTTCTCCTTCAAAAGGATTTCAGCAAGTGGGAGGGGCAGGGAAAAAGAAACTCTTGGTGTATGTGGCAGTGCAGGACAAATATTTTTTCAAGCAAATAATTCATCTGCACAAAAAAAAAAAGAAATTGACCATCTGGGTTGATCCAAATCATTTGCACCAAATGCAGTAAATATAGCCGAAGTCACACAAGTGGTTGGGGGCGGGTTCAGGTTCAAGGCTGGGATTCAGGTGATCCAGCTTCAATTTGCAGCTCTGCCACAGACTCCCTGTGTGACCAAGCCAATCCATCTGCCTCAGTTCCCCCACTGTAAAATCTTTAATGGTCTTCCCCGTCTCCCACCCTCTGCCTATTAGGATATAAGTTCTATTCTGTTATAAGTTCTTTCAGACAGGGGCCCTACAGACGATACCTACCACAAAGATTTCTATCTGGGCCCTTTAGACATTACAACAATGATAATGGCGCTAGCAACCGTTGTGTTCGAATACATCTGTTAGCAGGGTTCCAGTACAGTTTCCTTGAGTAGCACAGATAGGAGGGCTTTGTCTGAAAAGAATGATACAAAGCTGTGTTATAGCTGTGTTATGGATTCCCAGGGTAATCTGGCTACTGTTAGTGTCACAACCCAAGGGTGTGATTTTGTGTGCGCGCGCTTCGGCACTGCTAAATTATTTCCCGCCACGAGGAGCTTTCTTTGCAAGGTGCATTTCTCAGTTGCAAAGAGAAAACCCCGGTGCAAAGAAGTTCTCGCCACCCGCATGCAAATTTGTGTCCCACTACTGGCCAGTTCTAAATTATTCCCACGTGGCGGCTAGCGATTGGCTTGCTAGCCGTATAAGAGGCTTGAGCGGTTTCCGCCCAAGTTGGAGGACTCCACAACCATCTGGAGGAAGAGGACTTCATGTCTTGTGAAGAACTCTAAGCGCTGCGGAGCCTAACGGACCCAGCGTGTACCTTAAGAAGGCTATAGGGGTCTGATCAACCTCTGGCCTCTCCCCGTCGCTGAACGATCCCTCGACGAACCCCTTCCCTGCACGCAAGTTCCACGAAGACTAGCAAACTTCGTGTGAGTGTATCCAGAGCTCTTCTCCGAGTTGTTTTCTTCGGTTGACACGACGGGCTCGCGGTTTTAGAGCCTTCAGCCGGATTGGGCTAGAGTTCGCGAGATTAGAACTCTTGTCCGCTCTTCTTTCCTATCTGTAACTGCAACTCAAGCAAGTTTTCCTGCCTGCCCCGCGACCATCTACAGTGTAAGTAAAATAATCTTTAATCAACCGCTACGTGTCCGTGCCTAATTCTAGTCCGCCGGCCTGCATTCCCCGACCCGCGTGCCAGGGCTGCTGGCCACAGCCTGCCGCGCGCCCCCGAAGGCCTCGGACCGCTCCCAGCCCGCACAGTTAGCACAGTTTTAGCCACAGCATGGATGGGATATAAAGTTATATAAAACTCTCTGGTTACACTGCTGGTACCCAGCAGCACTTCATCACTAGTGGAGGTATCATTATCACTGCTAGTACTATCAGCCTGCAATGGTGGCAGCAACAGAGAAAGAAGGATGGATTTAAAGCAAGAGGGAATGGCTAACAATTTAAATTTCTATAGCAGAAATTCGGACTCCCAAGTTTGAAAACCATGACCAAGCTACCTTAAGGAAGACCCAACCATTGGCTGCTTCTTGAGGCAGGGTACTGAGCGAACTGCACTAAGTGATACAACTTGCCCTTTGTCATTCTCCTTAATTGGACCACACATGAAAGCCGGCCTCACACACCAGCCCTTTTTCTATCTTATGCTGAATGCATGGTATCTTTTTGCTCTGCGAGAGTGCAAAAGCACCAAGTCCCAAAAGGCAGTAACAATCTACTGGGGAAGAGAAAAAGGAACACTGGCTTTAGCCTAAATATAGCCTCAAGTCATTTTACAGAGTATGCAAATCCTTAGAAACAAAGTTAAATACCCACTTTTCCTCACTATTACAAAAATAACTCAGTTATCATGTAAAATATAGACAGCCTGAAGCAAGTAGGATAGTTCCCTACTCCTTGAAGGATGAATTGCTACTTGGAAGCAAAGCAGTTCTATTCTGGTCAGGATCTCCCAAGGCCCCATCACACAGCATCACTCCAAGACCCTTGAAAGGGTTAGAATCATAGAAAAGCAGGGCTGGAAGAGACCTCCAGAAGTCCTCTAGTCCAGCCCCTTTGCCTGAGGGGCAGGATCATCCCTATCCAAACCATCCTCTACAAATCCATAATCTAACCTCTTAGTTAAACTACCGTCAAAACGCTTACACAACACAAGACAATACCCTAACTTGCCACAGGAAAAGCAGGGGAACCACAGCAACCAGCATCCTCCTTCTCTAAAAAGGTTAATCACTTTGTGCATATAAACAGAATTCGAAGACAACACCACTGTAACAAGCTCCTGTACAGGGCTTGCCATCCATGTATCCCAAAGCACTTTTGAAATGTGGTCAAGTACTGTATTTACTCAAATACACTATGAATGCCTCCCCCTCCACCCCCACCCCCACCCCCAACTGGCATAGGGAAAAAAAGCCCCTCGTCTTATAATCACATGCAAGGAAATCTTGCTAATGACACTGTCTATATTAAACTGCTGCCAAAAGCAGCATGTGCTCAGCAATGGAAACTGACTATGAAGTTGATTAAATGCAGCCAACACTGAACATGCCTATAAAACACATGGCCTACAATGCGCAAACATGCTGATGAGAACTTTATTTATTTGAACTTTTTCAAGGCCAAATCCATTCCAAATTCAATTGGGTAAAGCCCAATAGTCAAGTTCCAAAATTTGACTGAGCAAAGCTCAGTTGTCAAATTTGTGTGGCTCTACCACCAAGCAAGTATCCTCCTTCCCAGACCCATCAGTCTGAGGCTTTGGATGCTCCCCAAATTCAGGCAGGTACCCTACATGCAAGTCCAAGGCCCAGAGGCCTTGGGGTTCTTCTCTGTCAGCAACCCCCCCAGATATGCACATGACCTCATACAGTACAGCTGCACTTTCAGAAAGAGAGCACACATACACGAAGCACGTGCACACATACACACACACATACTGGAAGCATATGCACACACACGTGCATGTATTGGAAGCATGCATGTACACACATATGGACACAGGCCATCTCCTATGGCCAAAGTGTGGATTTTCAACACAGGGGTCTGCCATACTCCTCCCATACTGCTAGTAGGAGAGGTGCCCCAGCTAGATGGAAAAGTCCCATAGGAAGCCCCATTAGGAAAAACATTGAGAATTACAGAGCTAGAGCCATCAAGGGAGTGGGAGTTGTGTCTTTGGCTGGGGCTGTCAGATTTGAGCTCTCTCCACGTTCATTTACAACTAAACAAACAGCTCCTGGAAAGCGCAGCCAAGTTAAAAGGGTAGAAAGCAAACATGAACACAAACTCAATCCTCTCTCAGGGTTGGCATGTTGCTCACCTCTATTGTGGGGTCATATTCATCAACAAAATGGTTCTGAATGAGCTGTATTGTCAAAGCGCTCTTCCCAACGCCACCTGCTCCAACCACCACCAGCTTATACTCAGTCATTTTCTGACTGACCCCTGCTGAGGGACTCCAGTAGCACCACCACCTGCAAGGAAAGAAGGGTAAAAAAGACACCATCAGTGTTAAGTTAATGCTTTTCTTGTCATCATCTTGGCCACAGAAGCATGGAAGAGTGAAAACCACCAGTAAACATGCAATGTCTGTTATTAGAAGGAACGAGACTCATAACCTCATTAAACAGATATCAAATTCCCAGGCAGCTACTCCTGATTTATATTGTTTGTATTTCACCAGTAGAGATTGGAGTCCTTGTGCACTAGACACCATACAAACATATAAGAAGAGACTATCTACTTGTCTGCAAGACAAAAAGCCAAGCTAATTAAGAGGTGAACCAATCTAGCCAAGGATATGCAACAAGTCAGTGGCAGAGCAAGGAAAAAGGCCCTTGCTTCCAATCTCCCAGTCCAGGGCCATACAGCCTCTGATTTTAAAGCAACTCAAAATATGCGATTCAGTCCACTTCCACAAGCAGTGGAATGTGTGACATTTCTAAACGCCAATCCATTGCGCTCAGAAATTCTCAGATTTCTGGAAGTTTAAGATAGAGCAAGGTAAACCTCCCTTTGCAAGAAGGGGGAAATATAACCACAAGGGATCCATAAGACCAAATTCATCTTTGTTATAAGCTGGCTCACATCAAAAGGAAATAACTCTAGAATGACTTCTAGCTCATACATAGCACCATTTTCTCTTACCTCCTACACATGTGCTATTCCACTGTCTACATACATACACCCTTGGGACAACACCAGATTATGAAAAACAAAAGACCGCCCAAAGAGGTCAACAACTTTTTCTTCCCTATGATTCTGAACACACACAGGAGGAAAAGCACCTCCATTATCTACACACTATTGCAGCTTATAAGTTTCTCTTGCTGCACTGGCCACTAGAGGCCTTGCTGGAAAGGAAACAGCAGACATCTATTGTGCCTTTGCACAATCACACACTCTTCCCCAACCTCCCCAGTCCCATCTCCTCCACGTTCCTGAGGTGGAGACAGAAGTGCAGAAAAGTTAACACATTCTCCTGAGCAATTTAGAAGTGTGCACTATGGAGGATGACACACTGCTCTCCTTGGTTGCTGCCAGCTTGACTTAGCCCTCGCAAGAGGAGCTGGCTGAGGATGCCTTACAGCACTTCTGGGAAGCAACGCTTCTACAGAAACCTGCTTTGCTGTCACCATCAACAAGTGGGGATTTCCCTCCCTCGCTTTTATTTCTGCCCTGGATTCCCTGCAAAAGAGGAACTTTGACACACATTTACAGGAAAAAGGGAACAAAAAAAGAGAGAAAGAGAGAAAGATTATGAAACCATGGAGGTTTAAATGGAAACCCACCCTCATCGGACTGCAGAGTCAACCCTGGGTCAGATACCAGCTCCCAGCTGTAACACCAAGCTCTGGAGAAGCTGATCCCCAGACAATGGCGAACTGGCCTGAAATGCTGAGCTAAGCTCGCTGTCCGGGCAGCTCCATGTCCCAGCCTCCCCGTCCGCACAGAAGCAGCCTGCTCTCCCGAAGGGAGAAACTCACACTTCCTTGTTTGTCTGAGAGTGAACTTAGCACTCCTGGAGAGGAGCCAGAGAGCAACCACCCAGGCACCTCACAGACCAGCTGCTCCCTCCTTCCCGTGCAACTCCTCAGCTCTGCCAGTGCCCTACAGACTACTGTAATGGGTGACCTTGGAGTCCCAACTCTGCCCTGGCTGCTACATCTGAGAGCCCCCAAGGCACCAGGAGAGCCACAATCCACTGGATCAAGCCCCAGGGGGGTTAAATATCCAGGGGCTGGAGGTCTGGTTGTGCTCTCATGCCCTCTGCCTCTGGAATTCATTACCCAAGCTGGCCTGCAGCCAGTCTCTTAGCTGCAGGGCACAGTGTCAGGCTTGTCCCTCTGCTCTGGCTTCGCTTCTGAGGGGGTGCAGTTAGGGAAAGTTGGGCCAGAGCTCATTTATAGTCGGACAGGGTCAGTGACATCCTGCACACTGGATGGGCTCTTGTGAGCCTGTTGAGAGAAGTGCAGATTTTTATTTTTATTTTTTAAAAAGAGCCCTTTTATTCCAGGCCCTCCCCCTCTCCCTTCCACAGCTCTGCCAAGGGACCTCAGCACTGATTCACCACACCCTCCTGCTAATCCACTGCCTGCCCTCTCCCTCCCAGCTCTGCCAATGCACCTCACTGCTGATCTGTCATGCCTGGGGCTGACCCAGCCTTCAGGCTTCCCTCCCACACCAACTTCAACATGCAGCTGCAATAACCAACACCTATCGCTGCTCTGCTCCTCACCTCCAGCTCTGCCAAGGGGAAAAATAAAAGCTGTGGCCTTTAGAAATGCTTAAAAGAGGGAGACATCACAAAATAAATTGGATTTAGTATCAAGTTAAGTCACTTGGGGGAGGAGGAAGGTTACTGCATTGACTCATTCATTTTTGCATTTAATGAAACTGCTGAAGAATTCCCTATTTATTGCAGAGTCCGGGGACTCAGCCGCAGAATCCACGTACTCCTTGGATCATGGCACCACGGCAATGACTCCAGAGCAGTTTTGCCAGCTCTCATGACACTATTACCCATCTAAGTAATATTTAGTGCTTCTCGTAAAGAATAGGCACCTAGAGTCATGTGATTATGTGAAATGTTGCTTTGTTTGAAAAAAAAGAAAAAGGAAAAAAAGAAGCAAGTGCCTACCTCTCATGAATGCACAGAAAGGTTTGAAAAACAAAGCCCAGAAGGCAAATGTTAAAAATAAAATAAAAATCAATTTTAAAGAGAAAAAAAAAATCTTACGGTCTCCAAAGGGTTCACAAAGGTGCCACAGGGAAAGCTATAATCAGGACTATTGGCTACAAAAGCTTGAAAAGCCAATGGACTTTCAGGCACCAAGTATGTATTAGAAACACAGATGTACATGGAAAGCCTTTGCCAGTGTAGTAATGTCTGCTAGGGGTGTTGTTTTAAAAAACGATTTGAGCCCTCACATAAAGGCAATTTTACAGAGCGCTTTTCCTGCTGGAGCCTATTTTGTTCACAGAGCTGATTTGAGTTTTACCAGCAAAAGCCACTGTGTGGCTGGTAAAGGTGCATCTGCACTAGGTTTGTGGATATAGCCATACCTGTAAAACCACCCCACTAAGCATTCTAGGCCAAACGTCTGATGTCTTTCTGGACAAAGGATGCTGCAGTGGGAAGATCAGACAAAACACAACAAAGAATATACAGCCTGACCACCCAGCCCAGGGTGGGGAGAAGATTCAAATGGCGTGTGTCTTCTGTGCTGCTGGGGAAAGCTGTTAAGGGAATGGCCTGTCTTTTGCCTTATTTTCACACGTGATACTGTCCCTTTTCAGCTAAGCCTTGAGTCCCTTGGTGAGGCTTCCTTTGTTACTTCAGGAGAAATATTGCAGTAAGTTATGTTACTAATGCTTGCTCACTCAGGAGAAAACTCACTGCAGGTGACTGAGCAAGGCTATGTACAGAGAGGACCAGAGTCTAAGCACAGAAGTGGGCTTGATGGTGCATCCCCTGCTCTCCTAGACAGTGGCAAGCAACCATGAAAGGATCAAGTTGGGACACACACACACACACACACACACACACACACACACACACACACACACACACACACACCTCTCCCCCACTCAAGATTTAAGATGGCAACCAAGATAGGAAAGCCCAGTGCCTGAAACAACTCTGCCAGCTGTCACTGGTATGGCCCCCTCTGGCAAGAAAGAGATCCCCAGTACCTGAGTATTGCTGCAGGTGGACATAACCATACCTACTGAGCAAGGAGATATCATTATGCAAGACAGCTGAGGGACTGCATGATGCACAGTAGGAGAGTCTGTAAAGGGCAAGGAATCCACTCTATCTACCAGGGTTTTTTAACAGTGCCCATCAACCTAGTGTCTGGAGACAAAGAAGAACCACATATAGTAGCCAATATGCACCCACAAACAAGAGGAAGTCATACTGCTGTGGAGGTTATTCCTAACAGTGTCCTCTAGAGCCGGGTTGTCCAGCTTGTGACCTACTGGCTGAGTGTAGCCCATGAAGTCCATAGACACCTGCTTGGGCACCATTCCCCCCACCACTTCAACTGGTGCTGCCGCCAAGGTCTTTGGGCTCTTCCTCCTCTATCCCTGAGGCAGCATAGTTTGCTGCATAGCAAGGTGTAATTGGGGAGAGGTTGCCCATGCAGCGTGCAGCCCCCAGCCACTCAAAAGTTAGACAGCCCTGCTCTCGAGAACCAGCATAATCCAGCACACAGGATTGTCCACTGATCTACACACAGATGGAAGCTGCACTGAAGAAGGTGGCCATGTTGACCGCAGTCACCACAACAGAACTAAAGAGAGCTGCAGGTGACAGACATGAGAGAAGCCAGTAAGATCACAGTGAGTGATGGAGCTGGAGACCACAAGACACTTGGATGCAATGGTTTAGGCATGGTGATCCTGCCTTGTCCAGGCGGCTGGACTCGACGACCTCCTGAGATCTCTTCCAGACCCTGTCCTACTCCAGCACATACTAGTCTTCTGCAAGGGCTGGGATGTCACAATAACAGAGCAGAGGCAGAACACTTCTGTGAGCAGAAATTGTCCCTCCTGGGTGTTCCCAAGCACAGACTGGAGAGAAACTAACGGGACAGGCTTTTAGGTTTCCTTGGACCTGCTATCATCCTTGCAACACCCTTGCACTTGACTTCAGTAGTGACCTGGCCCTTTTGGTGCCCATCCAACCCCAAACAAAGTAGTAGATACGTTTCATGGCAACCAGAGGACTCTGTCCACTAGCGAAGAACACACACATGGACACACATACTCAACCCCCGGAACCAGGACAATTTTCACAGCCAGCTTTTTCCATTATTTCTGCTTCAGTTCTGGAAAACAGCCTTTTATGTGTTCCTGCCTGTCAGCAAAAGCCCTGTGGTAGCTGTCTAACAATGAGGCCCTTGTTACAGACAATACTCAACAGAGACACTGAGCTCTGCTATGCTGCGGAGGGCAATCAAGACTAAATCCATCCTTGTGTCCCCACCCTGCCAAGCAGGGACTATACATTTCACTTCTATGTCCTCACTAGAATCCATTTAGCATTGAACTAGCATTTCCCTGCTCCTCCCTGAACCAACTGGTAGCATGTCTAAGTAGGGGAAGAACATTTCTGGTCACCACCACCCACTGCCAGCTTCCACAGTCTTTTCAGTGACTGGCTAACAAAGCTCAGTTGCTGGCTGTTTCAGAGTTAGAGGGCTGCAGCATTTGAGATATAATACCAGGTATGTCTATAGGGACCAGATGGGCTGCATGCTCAAGGTCACTGCAGAGGAAATTCAGTGACAAAAGCTATGACAAGAACTCCCTCTCCTGTGCTTAGCCCACACCACTGAAATCCAAGCTGGTTATCCCACTGCAGCTGAGCAACGCAGGGTCAGGAATGCAAGCACCAGCCTGGGGCTGGGGCTCAATCCAGAGATGGGAAAAATTAGAACTGTGTACACCCTGACTGGAGGGTGCATCTACTAAATCAGGGGTGCATCAGCCCTCTGGTATGGCAGGAGTTGGGCGACTAGGGGGGGTGGGTCCTCCGGCGGCCAAGTGGCAAAGCTGGAAATGCACTTCCACCAGCACTTCTGGTTTTGCAGCTGGTGCTTCCAGGGGGTGCATGGCCGATCTCAGGGGGTACACATGCACCCGCATGCACACCCTACACGTCGCCAATGGCAGGAGAGTTCTGAGGGAGTGTGAAGAAGGTAGAAGAAAGCTCTATTCAAGAAGTTAAGAGGGTTTTTTCAGCTGGAGTTTCACTATCAGTGGAGAAATAGGATTCTCCACTGATTTTGCTGACCAGCTACACTTATGAAGCCTGTCATGTCTGCTGCAAATCAGCTCCCCTCTTTAGAGATATTCTAATATTCAGTCTACTTCACAGGAAGGCTTTTACTGAAGAGATCATGCGAGTGGAAGAAACCACTTTCAAAAAGGACACACATGTTAACTTCAAAGCAAATGCCTACAGCAGAGTCATTTGCAATAAATACCTGTAATCAACAGCAGTGCAATAAATTTGCAATAAATACCTGTAATCAATAGCAGTGTAGGCCCCATAGTGCTAACTGCTGTACACTCACTCACTCCCTCCTAAAAGGGTCCTTGCACCAAAGAGCCTATGCTATAAGTACAAGAACTCTGCCAAAACAAATACCTGTAATCAAAGACGCTCTCACTTACTCTCTCCTAAAAAGGTCTACGCACCAAAGAGCCTATAGTTGAAGTAGAAGAGCTCTGCCTTTTCTCCCCATTTGTTCAGGAACATCATACCTACTGAATGTTGGTCCACCTGCCTATTCCCCGCTGTTTTAGTCTTTACTCTTTGTTCCACCATTACCAGCTTAGAGTCCCCAAGGTAAAGACAGAGAGGATGATACCACATCAGCCTTCCTCTCTGACACTGTACTTAAAGTACCCTGAGCATTTTCGTTACAAACATCACACTAAATCCTAAAGTAGTCCAAACGTTT